AACACAAAGTCAGTAGAGAATGCCTTCATCAAAATAAAACAAAAACAAACAGGGTTGTTATTTTTGGCGTACGCTCAGAAATTCAAGATTAGTGTACATCGCAACTGTTACAGAATATTGTTATAATATAAACCTATCACGAGCAACCAGAGACATGACGTCATATACCGTAATTGATGCATATATAGTTAGCTTAGTGTAGTTACTTTTGGTGCAATCCAGTAGAAAGTCTTTGCAAAATGTTCTTTTTTTTCTGGAGTAAAGGTTTAATCACACAATCGAATCTATTGGGAATTCACTCTATGTCGGTCAACGTATATAAAATTGTGTTATCGATTTTACGCTAGAAAGAGAATAGAAACAAGAAAACGCAATTTTCAACATGGTTAGGAAAACAGATGGCAAAGGTGCATGATCTATTTATGGGGTTGTGCATTTACGCAAACATACGGAAATCTGCAATCTGAAATCTGTTTGTTTGAACGAATGAGATTATACAAATAAATAAATGAGATTTGTATAACAATTTGGCACCATATCTGTTGCACACATAGAGTGTGGGCAAATATACAGTACCTTTATATATCAGTAGTATAAATAGAATAAGTATATATCGGGTTATTTGTTCGTTGTCAACAGCATTTTACTATCTTAGAAATACAGAAAAGCAGTGTTTTGTGATGCACCAGGTTTATCTGTCAATGGAATCGACACAGTTGGTCCTGTCGAACACATACACATGCAAATCAATTGTTGATAAAAACGAAAGAAGAAAATATGGGGGAAATCTGATAATACCTATGTCCAAACGACTTTATCACTATCCATGCTTTCAAACAAATTACAGAAATGACACTCTAATGAAAAATAAATACAGCACTTATTCGTTAAGCTTATATAATTTAAATGCATACAATATTCCTGAACATCAATACAGATTTGTAGACGAGGCCATCGCGCTGGAAAAAAATCCTGATTCAATTGATGAAGCTGTAGATTCATAATCGTATGAGAAGTGACTCATCTGCTATTCAGATACCTAAATAATACCTGGGCAGACATTCAACAAAGCACATGATTCGAAATGTTCTTTCAATAGCTCCGGGGGATTCAGAAATCCTTCAAAAATAGCTCTGTTTGCCTCGTCCTAACAGAAACTTGTTTTTTGCCCGGCGGCGTCATGCGTGGGTGGATCGGTAGCACACAGTACAGTCGGGGACAACTGAATACGGCGTAATTCCCATAATGTCAGACCTAATCAAATAGTTTGTGGATATTACCGCGATTTATCACGACTACATTCGAGATTTTCTTTATTGGAACAAATAATCTGCAGTACACTTTGAATTATGTAAGAGAGAACTTCTCTTAAGGATAAAGTTGTACGGTGTTTTTCTTCAGGGTGGCCAGGTTGCGGTAAATGATCATGAGGGCACTCCATAGTTTTGAATTAATTTGGAGGCGCCTAACGTAATAGTAAATACATAATATGGACGTCAATGTCAAAAGACCTGATGATATATATGTATGATGTAAGTCCCACTGACGTATCTTGTGACTACAATAATTACAAGTTAAGAACATACATTCAATGTAATCGTATTACATTCTTTGGAGACACTATGATAGGGGAAATAAGATCATCTTCCTATCATGACGACACTGCGGCAATTTAATGCAATACACCAGCCGTACGTAGACCAGACAGCTGATCGCAGCTCAAGGGAGGAACGAAAGCATGTTATCAAATGTTGTAGATTAATTTGTCAATCCTGTGATTTAATCGTCGGCTGATTACATACTAATTGTTTCAACGGACGCTGACGTTAATCTTATTATAATGTGTCAGTAACGGCTTTTCAAATTGTGCCATCACGTATGCCAAGTATCAGACGTAATACACTAAAGATAGTATGACACAGATTATGGATAGTATATCAGGTTTCTGCTCAGCTCATCTATACAGACATCTGCTACACATAAATGCTCGTAAACATACAGTACCAACTGGATAATCCATTATGTATCGTAATAAAGTGGTAATTAGAAAAAAAAAACAAATAAACATTACGGAAATAAAATAACCAGTGTGTATACGAGTACAACTGATGTTTGTCGTCATTAAACAATTGCTATTACCTTCTCGCGTTACCCATAATGCACGTTGATCACAAACGGTCTCATTTTTTTTCAAGGCATGCGGAAAGGGAGGGTTGAATAGCTGTAAAAGTTCATTTGTTCAAAGAAAGAAAGGAAGAAATGGTAACGTATATAACGCTCTCGATAACGAGACCTCATGCGATATATACAGCTGTGCTACGTAGTATCGAATGTTGTATGTGACATCGACGTAGACACTCGTATTGCATGTATTACTATCGAGCGCATATGGAATACAAATTGAAATGGTCTCAATAAATCTGAGTAACACTTCACTAAGGTTTAAAGACTGTCACATTTTGCTTCCAAAAATATACACAATTGTGTGATCATGCTTCAAACAAATACCATAGCTTATGGGATTCTGGCTGTGAAATACAGTGTGCTAAGGGGGAGTTTTTTTTTTAAATGTAACCTATTTTACCTACAGAAAAAACGACAACGCAAATAGTTAGTGAACTAGGAAATAAACATCACTGACACCAGTCATATATCGGTGAATAATACTGCATTAGCCTCGTAAATAAAACAATACACCAGGCACAATTCCATTCGTTAAATCTTCGATTTTCCATAACAATATTAATAGGCGTCTGTCTAATTGCAGCGTATTCCTCGTAGCTATGGAATATAGAATGAACTCCTCTCACATCCGCCCTGTATAGTATTAGTATTCAAATCCAAAGAAAGGCAACTTATGAAACTCTACTGCTCCGATGAACTGCACATGTACTGACATGTTTCCAGAGAATTATTAATTGCTAACATCTTTACTCTGGAACTACATTAGATGTGAGGAAACGCCTGATGTGAAGAAACGTCACATCGGAGACTTGAGATCAATCCGAGAGTAAATTACATCACGCTGTTTTGTATCCCGAACACAATGCAGCGGAAACGCACCGGTACAAAAGTAAACGCTGCTCTCGCTTCCCAGGTATGTTGTGATTGTACAGAATTGAACGCACAGAATACTTTCTGTCAAAGCACGTCAATTTGTTTAACAAGTGATGGTACTGAAGTGTAATTCTCTTCCCGTTTTCAGACATTTAAATATAACATGTAAGTGTACTGTCTTGTCTTTGTGGACTTCTTTGCTTTTGTGACTTAAAACGCTATGTATCTACTGATTCAACATACAGTTTCTAAACCAATTTACGTCTCTTTCAAAGCGTGACAAAACGAAATGATACATATATGCATGTAGAATATACTTTATGTATTTATATAGAGATCGTTTCTCTTCTACCATTTTATTGTACCTTATATCTAAGGAACAAATAACTTTGACTTGTTAGTGAACTGCATGATGCTTAAATAACTGTAACATTGTCAATCTTCAATTTACGATGATTGGACAGCAAAACATACCTATTCTATTACACTTTTTATTTAGCATAATCACATTTTATTAGGCAGCGTGGCACCATGAGAAAACAACATAATGCTTCCAGATGAAAAAGCCCCACACATATAGGAGAATGCAATTTACATTTTGATATCACTTTTCATTCACCAGTATTATGTAGTCCACTATTTTTATCCTCCCGCAAAGAATTATGGGTAAAACATGACATCATGGTCACTGTTTTCATCTATAATTCCATAGAGTTATATTAATATTAAGATTACTCACATTACGTAATGATTTCAACCGAATGCCAAACCGTACGTGTCTAGACGACCCGGCGCGTTATCCAAACCATAATCAATTACATAACTGTGCTGTATTGAAATCGGGGAATTCAGAATTTGTCGTGGAATTAGAATGATTCTTTGCAAATGATCGCAAAGCGATCGTTGCCAGGCGACGTGAAATAATGAACGCGACAATGAAAGACCCATTCCTTGATATATATATGTAGGTAACTATACCACCATCGGTATAAATTTAGATGATGAATATGATCTAACAATTAACATAAAACATGTCTAATCCATTCATATACATGGGAGAAAATATAGTTGCCGCTAAATGGGTTTAGTTGAAGGTTGCATAATTCGCCAAAGTATCGGATGTCTAACACATATCATATTACGTAATGCTAGTTGATTTCTTCTTTTTATGGCTCTTTTCGCCTTCCCCGGAAAGCACGACTCGATGCATCCAGACGCCATACAGACACCGGGCAATATGGTTCTGGCAAATGACATGCATTTCCATAATTACCCCCGCATAACCCCACCGGTGCAGGGCTCATAGCGAATATACATTCAAGTTGCTTTGACACAAGCATATTAGTGGTGATAGTGACTCAGTTTGCCAGCATGTGCGCATCGCTACACACGCAGCCAAATCGATCCAGGGTAATGTCGTTGTCGATATTAATAGAGCTTTACAGACTTTTACATTCGTGCCTGTATATTATGCGGAGGATAGCATACTGAATATTATCCATGCACATTATGCAGGTTTTTTTCGCACACAATGTAAATGTGTGTGCTGTGCTATTTATGTCATGCATTAATTTTGTAATGTTACCAATATCTGTAATTTAATCACTCACCAAATGATGTCGGTCATTCGATGTATAAAACGACAGTTGTTAGGGTTGACTGTTGTATGTCAAGGAAAATGCTTCCGGTTACACCATTTTAAGTAAAACTTTATTCTGTTAGTTATTGTAAATGGAAGTGCACCATAAAATAGCCAAGACCAGAAACAATATACTGCATAACATAAGTGTGTACGAACCGTTCTAACCAGCAATCAGTACCTGGGTTGTTATGCGCGTTACGTGGCGGAAGCTCGAGCGTTAATTGCAATGCAACAAACAACAACAACAACAACAAACATTCTGGTATAACATTTTATGCAATAATAAAGTAACTGTACGTACCACTCTTGCTACATCTTCAAATTCAATACTAAGCGGCTCCATTGCGCGAATGATCGAGAGTAAAGACTGGATAGCGTTTCCATAAATGACAGGTTTGAATGCAAGGCAATCGTCTTTGGAAAATCCATCGTGGTGTATAATTCTGTCGAAATATCAAAAAAATACATGAGTTACGTAATTTGAATAGAGCAAAAAAGATCAAACATGTATGAACATATCGACTACTCGCATATATATATATGTATATATGTATATTTATCTATCAAAGTATTAATATAGCTCGAGGTAGCACTGTAACACATCTGATTATTATATCACAGTGTTCATTCAAAACACGCTTCTCAGTGTCAGGACCCTAATGTTATTTTTCTCCATTATGCTTACAGTGTTGCAATTATTGTTTTTATCTCGGATCCCGGGGAAATCAAATATAATACTGTGAAATACTTTATTTAAGCTGGAATTAAGTGTTTTGTGTGGAATTTATTTTCACTGATTTTTTATGAGTTGGGTGTAAAATAAAGGGAAAAAAGGTATATTCGCTTGATTTTATTTTCACTGAATCGTCCCTTCAGCGAAAATAGAGAAAATTGATTACAAGAAAAAATAAAGTATTTTACAGTATAATATAATGGTGACAATATGTGCACTGGTTCTACTAAAACTAAACATACATATAATTCATATATGAACTATTGGTTGAGGATATAATCGGTTTATAGATAGTCCGTCTATTGAAATATGATGGGTAATTTTAATCTTAACTTTGTTCTGTGTTAAAATGTAAGTCGATCTGTCAATATATTTAAGTGTACAAATCGGATATAAGATATAATGTTTTCTATCTGACACAATATACGTAATACAAACAATTTCAAGTGTTATTGTCAATATCAAGCACATTAAAATACTAACATTAAGCACCATGCTCGTCAATGTGTCGCTGTGTTTACAGTCGCAGAATTCTCTCTAAAAGCAACTTGAGATTATAAGGAAGAAAATATGAAAATGCGTTCTCAAGCGTGAAAAGAAGTGGGAGTATATTTCCGGGAAAACGGATGAAAGAGAAGTCAAACCAGGCGTGGTAGTCTTTAATGATGATAGGATATTCGAATAACCATTCGAATGTTAATTGTGTGTTTTAATAGAAACATGTAGACTGTGCTCGCCAGTCGCTTACCGATATGTGGGTGTGTACAGAGAAGTACGCTGTTATAAACAATATAATCAATTGTATTTTAAAAAAATATAATATATTGAATGTGATTACATTCAATTGATCTGTTTGTTGGACAATTTGAGAAATATACTTTGTTATCGAGAACGGAATGGGGATAAATATGCTCCAGTTGCTAGGATACTTTTCCCCGTGGTCAACGTAATCGAGTTTGAGAATGATATGTCGCAGTAACGTGATGTGACCAAACTTGAAAATAATTGCATTAAATAATTGAACCAATCAGCATTTCTATTCTGTAGGAAGTCAAGCTGGTAACCAAATACGTTTGCTTATTATCGGGACATTTTCTCAATTACATCAAAGGCGAAATTCAATGTCAGGACAGCACGACCGATCTACTATATCACGTGACATCCTTAGTAAATCGCGATAGAATTGTTCAAATGACACGGGAACCACAACATTATATGGGTACATGTGGGACAAGATAGGCAACGTTTATAAATTTGAACGAGCGCTGTGCGATGACGGTGTCGCTTTAAATATGGTTCACGCCACAAATACGTTTAACTTGAAAAATACAGCTATAACCAGTTACCCTAATACGAATATGAAACAAACAATATTACAGGCATGCTAAATTCATCACAGAGTACATCTGCCACCAAATAGAGAGACAGTTTTGTTGTGATCAAATCGAATTCTTCAAAGGCGACTAAATATAGAATGACATTTGCCCGCTGCTGTGAATAGATCACATTGTGTGAAATGGGGCTATTGAATCTCATTTGCAACATTAAAAGTATAAGTGCATCAGAAATATAGTAAGAAAATCGTCAGAGCCCATTTAATCTGCGTGAGTTCCAGTCCTTTTAGAAACTGCAAGGACATTTGTTGTCTAACTATTAACAGAAGAGGAGAAGACGCAGAGGAATTACATTGTGTAGCGAACGTGCCAATTTGCCGATACTTAGTCATTCGTATTAGTATGACATGCCAGGGGGACGCATTAGTTTAATGAATCACGTCATTATAAAAACAACACGTATTCTAAGCACATTTCTCACAACTATGGACCATGGTCTGTGTCTAAACTGACATTTTTTAACTCTAAAGGAATGCATCCCGAATGTAAATGGCCACTGTGGGCAGCTCAATAGACGCGGGCGTTTTATTCACTATTTCGACAATCTCACTAAAAGCACCTAGTGGAATTTAATTGTGCCAATGTGCATTTCTCAGTCCTTGTTTCTATTTAATCATATCTCCATTGATACGTCAAGGTTACAAACAGAATAGTGTCTACATAGAATATTTTGTGGTTCAGTTCATGTCCGAAACAATTTCAAACTATTTTCAAATTGTTTATGCTTGTTTTAAACAGTTAAACATAAAATTCATATTTTATCGCAAATATTACACAACCAAATGTTTCCGTACTATAACTTTCAATCATTTATTTTAAAAACAAAACTAGTTTTCTTGTGTATTATGTGAAAGATGCCGTGTTAGATATGTGTGATAGGCATGTTTTGAATAATTCATTGACTTAATTTAATTTGCTATGGCCGTCGTTTGTGTTATGAACATATTTGAGTACATTATGAACCTGTTTGGAAGTATTTTAGACATATTTGAATGAATTATGGATATGTTTGTATTATTAACATGTTTATACGTGCTATTGAC